TGTTTTGAACTTTTAAAATATTGCATGGTTAAAAACAAGAAGCTGCGCTTCATATTAGTGACAAACTTTGGTGGTTTTTTTTGACGAGATACTTTCATTTTTGCTTCCAATTTTCATTTAAAATAAGTTTCCATTCTCGGCAGGTTTCTACAGTTCTTCTTCTGCATATTAAAAAAGTTGTTAAACATCTGAGTGGTGCACTACTGCTTGTGGTTAGAGCAGTGTATTGCACCTTATTCAAAATCAATGTGGTCCCACGGCCCTCTGCGGCCCAAAGTTAAAAACTGTTGTTCTTTTGAGGCCCTCAAGGTGGCGCTCGCGACCCACAATAGGGCCGCTGCCCATGGGTTAAGAATCTCTGCGAAGATCACACGACACTAGCATGGTGCTGCTGTCACCACAGTCATGGCATTAGGTGGGTGTCCATGAATATCACACAAGTACCAGTACTTTTAAAAGATTTCAGAAAGTGAGGCTGTAGGACTAACACAAGACCAGTGCGACCGGTCCTGCTTCAAGTCCTTGATGACCAAGTCACACCAGTTTATTTAGTCGATCCCACATCATGAATATGTTATCACTATGCTCCATCCAGGACCCCGTTATTTTACCACCATATTAACAACAAACACAACCTCAYTGCAMATGTTTTGTGCATCCTCAACACCCACCATCACATTCTGGTTTGTGTATTGGGAATCACAGAGTCTTGTCTCTGCTTTATGCAGATGATGTGGTTCTGTTGAGACCTTCAGTGTGCACTGGGGCAGTTCACAGCTGAGTGTCATGAGGCTGGGATGGAAGTTAGTTCCTGGTTCTGTCTTTAGAGTGCAGCATCCAACTGGTAGGACTCTCTGGAGGGATTATGTATCCTCTCTGACCTGGGAACACCTCAGGGTCATCGGGACAAGCTGGAAAGTGTTGCTGGGGAGAGGGAGGTCTGGGTTTCTCTCCTGGACCTGTTGCCTCCAAACCCAGATTTGGATAAACGGTTTGAGTAACAGAATTTCACTACTGAGTGATCACCTGACCACAGCAAGGCCCTGGATAAAATGGTTAGTTTAACATGTGTTTTGCACCTGTTACCTGACGAGGATTCCTTTAAAAGGCTTATTGTAGCAGAGTTAGTTAAAAAGAGTTTCACTTTTTCAAACTGGGGCATTGTTGTTCACTTTGACTTAATGGCAGCAGGAGGGTTAAGAGGACAGTTCATTCATTTTTTCCCACAAACTACTTTTTTCATATTTCCACAAATGCTGAAAGTCTACATATAAAATCTAACTGCAAACAGGTTCAGTTTAAATGGTAAATGGACTGTACTTAAACAGCACCTGGCTTCTTCTTCAAGCTCTTCAACACAATCTGTCCTCATTTACTCATTTACTCATTCACACAGACTCTACTAACTCTCTACAGAGCTAATTTGTATAAACCTTCCTACAGTGCTTTAAATCACATTCATACACTGAAAAAACAAACTTTTGGGTGCAGTAACATTTGTTTAACTATTCTTTTAAATTAAAAACAAATATCAAAATCTCTAAAGTGCTAGAATTTACTAAATAAACAATACGCATTATATTACATATCAATATTACTGTACAAAAAAAGTA